ATCTGGTCAGTTTGTGGGGTGGGAGCTTGGCCAGCAGAGGGGGGAGGCTGTAGGGAAACAGCACACAAATCTAAGGGGGTGCCCGAGGGGGTTATTTTCATCATATATTTATTACATAAATATATAGTAAAATAGACGAGCAACAATTACCATAAAAATATCTTTCTTTAAAATCCTGACCCAAAACAAACGGGGTGAAAAATCGCACATAACAGACATACTGATTGTCAGTGTGGGGCAGGAGTAGGAGCCCCTCAGGTCACCCCCAGCAGTCCCCCCTCCCAGGGGACGGGACTGGCCGCCTTCCCTGTTTCTGGCCACGACCCCCTCCCCCCACCCCAGCACCAGCTTCTCATACATTCAGTAGCCTCTGGGAAGTGTCCCCACCCCCGCCCAGGAGGTCCCAGGGCAGGAAGTACTGTCCCTCTTGGGCTGGTGTCCAACACCCGCCCTGCCCTCTCCCAGCCCTGCAGACCCGCACCGCCCAGGGAAGGGGGCTCCCCCTACCCTCCCCAGGTCCCCGCAGGGAGGAGACTGGATGAGGTATGTGTATTGTAAGTGATGGGAGGGCTGTACTGAGATGGAGAGGTGGGTAGTGGTCATGGCTCTGGCACCCCCTTGTCCTGCCTGGCCCCTCAGCCTACTCCCAGTGACCAGTCCGTCGTCTCCCTCCCCCCAATACTGCACCTGCTGCCCCACCCTGCCTGCCCTAGTGCCCCGGGCCAACACTGGAGGGGGTGTGCGAAGCACCCACAGCAAGGCCACCCCCTCCTTAGCACCGATGGCCCCCAGGAGAGGGCCCTGTCCCTCACTCCGCAGCAGGGACTGGGACAGCTGCCTCGCTAGAGCAGGTGCGTGGCACTCCTGAGTCTCCTGGCTCCCCCCACCCACGTACTCACGCGCACATTCACGCAGAGAAACGCACACACACACCCCGTGACACTGAGCGGGGAGGGTGGGGTGGGGGTCACAGCTCAGTGATTGGGGTAGGGGGTAGCATGGCTATGGCAGAAGGGACAGCAGACGGGTCAGGAACTCCACTGGGCCCCCAGGAGCGGAGGAGGGATGGGCTTCCCCATGGGACTGGAGGGTACAGGGTCAGTGCCCAGAGAGAGAGAGAGAGGGAGAGGGAGAGGGAGAGAGAGAAACAGGATGGCAAGGCCGCTGGCCCCGGAGGGTGGGGCAGGCACATGCACAGGTGACATGAAGCTCCCCAGGCCCTGCTGGGCTGGAAACCTTACAGGGAGGGAGAGGAGGACACTGCCCGGGCTGGTGGCATGGCATCACCTTTCGCGCGCGCGCGCGCGCGTGTGTGTGTGTGTGTGTGTGTGTGTGTGTGTGTGTAGGGCTGTGGCAGGCTGAGGGTCAGAGTGGAGTGGCAGGTTCCCCACTGCTTAAGACACCTGTGCCCCAATAGTGCAAAGCGCGGGAAGCCCTTACACCCCTCCCCACCCCACCCCATTCCCCATGGCTTCCGGGGGCACCTGCGTCCACCCATCCATCCCTGCCGACATGCAGCCCTGAGCCCAGGGCCCTCTGGTCTGCTCTGTCCCCTCCCTGCCTCCTCCCTCCTGGTCACCCCGGAGGAGTGGGCCTTGGCCAGAGGGAGGAGAGGAGGCGGGTAGCTCCCCCAAGCACAGACCAACAGAGCACTCCTCACCAGGAGGGTGGGGGCTCAAGCCAAAGTCCCTGAATTAGAGAAAAGAGGGGGAAGGGGTTCAGGGGGCAGAGGGCAGCAGGCCTAAAGAGCTTCAAAGAAAACAGGAGGGTCACCCACTGCCCCTCCCCGGATAGTGCAGGTCTGCAAACACCCCTCTTTTGTGTGCCCACCCCAGGCTGGGTTAGTGTATTGAGGGGGTTGGGGAGAGAGGATGGAGGCAGAGGGAGCCCAGGAAAGGGGGCACCACGGGAGTCCCACAGGGTGGAGGTGCCAGGGGCTGCTCACACGCCCCCAGCAGCATCTGGATTGTAGCTAATACTGCAGGCTATGAGGTGGGACGGGACCAGGCCACTGTTCATTCTGTGTGGGTGCCAAGTGGGGGGCAAGGGGGCCAGGGAGGGGCCCCTGGGGCCGGGCACTTGAAAGGGGGCGCTGTGCGGGCAGCAGGGCAGGCTGGTGAGGGGCCAGCTGGCATCCAGCGTGAGAGGTAGATGGAACTCAGCGGGCACGAGTGGCAGAGAGCAGAGGAAGTACTGCGGAGGGGGCGAGGCAAGGGGGCGGCCAGGACCCTGTGGTGTGGACTCACAGCTCTGATGGGCAGCCATGCCCCAAGGGGGTCTCTCTCTTGATCTGGGGGGAGGGAGGGCAGCTCTCAAAGTGCATGGGGCGGGAAGGACAGGTCCTCCCCTCTGGCCAGCCTCAGTTAATAACTTAATATCATCTCTCTCTATCGCTCGCTCTTTTTTGTCTTTTTCTCTCTGTCTAGTTTTTCTTCATTTATCTTCTCCCCTTGCTTGGTTTCCAAAGTGCAGTTAGGATGACTATCGTCTTTAACCTCCAGTGGAGGAGCAAAGCCCAGCCCAAGCTGTCCTCTACGCCCAGGCGGTGGGGAAACAGAGGCCCTGAACCTGGAGGGGAAGCCTCGGCCAAGGAGCTGGCGGGCATCTGCGGCGTGCAGGGGCAGCGACAGCACAGTCCCCAGCCACACGCCTCCCTTCCCTATGGTCTCCACGGCTTGTCCCTCTGAGGTCTCCGTACCTTCCCCTACTTCTCAGAGCACAGGGTCCCCGCCTCCCACACTAGCCTTTCATAGCAAGTTCATCTGTGTGCCCCGTCCCAGGGCTGGAGGTTCTGGGGGGACCTGGGCAGTGCAGGGGTGTGTGGGAGCTGCATCTATCCAAGGATGAGAAGGGGAGAGGAGGCGGGGTCTCCCTCAGCCCAGCTCAGCCCCTCCTCTCCGGGCTCCTCCCCACCAGCTCCGCACACCCTCTGGCCGCCTGAGGCTTTAGACTTCCTGATCCTCAAAGACCTCCAGGAAGAGAGGGGGGAAGAGTTCGGTGGGGCACTCGACTTTCATGTGGAGGAAGCGGCTGGCGTGGCAGGCCCCGATCATGCGGAGGTCAGTCACCTTCATCAGCAGCTTGGGCCAGAAGTGCGGAATGTTGTGTTTGCGGTGGTTGACGTAGTGCTCGAACGCCAGCAGGTACGCCTCCTGACTCTTCTCGATCTTGTCCACACACAGCAGGCCCGAGCGGTCTGCGGGGCCGGGAGGGAGGGGGCGTGAGGGGCACGCGGCCCGGGAGGGCGAGAGAAAGGCACCAGGAGGGAGACTAAGGCAGAGAAGGGTGGCGATGGGGCGGGGCACGGCACACACTTGTTAATCCCAGCACCGAGGAGGCTGAGGCAGGAGGGTCACTGCAAACTGGAGGCCAGCCTGGGCTACACAGTGAGTTTAAGCCCAGCCTGATCTGCAGAGCGAGACCCAATCTCAGCCTCCACTCCCCAAAAAAGGGGTTGGACCAAAAGGCAGGGAGGATGGGGGCAGCAGGTGGGCAGGAACAAGTGGAGGGTGAGGGACAAAGGGGCCGTGTGCGGGACAGAGCGGAAACATGGGGCGAAGACAGGATGAGGAACAGAGTGGGGAGGGGGTCTGGGGACAGAGAGGTAGCCTGGAAAGAGGAGATGCCGAGACCTGGGTTTAGCGGACAGAAAGAACTGCAGTGCTCAGGAGGGGCAGCAATGGGCCCAGGGTCCAGCCAAGCTCTGGGGGCCCTGGAAGCCTCGGGGTTCCCTCCTCCAACAGGCAGGTACCTGTTGACATTAGCAGCACAGCCTGCAGGAGAGCCACTTCCGTGTCATCCAGGTTAAAGGCAGAGAGTGACTTGCCCAGTTCAAAGATGGCGTCAGAGACCACGCCCAGGCCGCCGTTCTTGAGCTGCTCCCGCTTGACAGCCATCTCCCCGCTCAGCGTCAGGGTGTCGCTGTCAGGGTCATAGCGCACGGCCGCCCGCAGAGACATGATCTCCATGCAGCACCCCTTCAGGAGGATGATCTGGTCTTCACAAGGCAGCTGCGGAGGCGGGGCCACGGACGGCTCAGCACCGCCGGCCTGAGTCCCACCCCCTTGCTCACCCCCTCCACAGAAGCCTCTGGATCACAGTAGCCCCCAAGGGACAGGGGGCCGGGGGATGGCCAGGCAGGCCCGAGGGAGGTGGGCGTGGGGAGCAGCTGGTCCTGGACTGGGGGCACCCGGTGCGTGCGTGTTACTTTGCAGCGGTCATCTCCTGTCCAGAGGACCTCACACGGTGCCTCTGGCTGCCCCTCTAGCATGGACCACTCACCTCGGAGAACATGGGCAGTTTTTTGGCAAAGTCCACCACGCGGGTGATGGCCGGTGTGATGATCTTGGTAAACTCGCTGAAGGCCTCGAGGTCCACCTTGTCTCCGTCCGGCATGGAGACGATGGGCGACTGGCCAATGTCATCCGGCTAGGGGGACAGTTGGGGGTCAGCTGGGGCTGCAGACCCCTTTTCCAAGTGCTCACTGAGGCTCCCTGCCCACCAGGGGGAGCTCCAGGGCAACGTGGGGAACAAGGCCCCTGCAGAACTGGACAGGAAGGCTGTGGCCCAGCCCAGACTTTTCCTTCAACCTTGGGGCAGAAGACAGACAGACAGGAGCAGAGCACTCCAAGTCTGCTAATAATAACAATCGTAAAAATGGTAATAGCTGGCGTAATGGTGCCCTCCTGAAATCCAATGCTCAGAGAGGCTGAAACAGTAGGGTCAAAATTGAGCCCAGTCTGAGAAATTTAATGATCTACCAAGGTTCTGCCTCAGGCTGGGCTTGGCAGTACCTGTGTTGCACCTATAGCCTCAGCACTCTCAGGAGGCTGAGGCAGAAGGATTGCTGTGAGTTCGGGGCTAGACTAGATCACATAGTGAATTCAAGGCCAGCCTGGACTACATAGTGAGACCCTGCCTCAAAAAAAAAAAAAAAAAAAAAAGGGGGGGGC